CTTTAAAGCATCTCTACCCTTGTCCTTGGCATCCCGCAGCACTAAAGACAAACTTCTGTCATCCAAGCACTGTACTAACTCGGCAAATGCTTCTGCATTTTTCTCTCCGTTCAATTCTTCATCACTGACGCCGCCTTCCTCTTTCGGGAGAATAACTTTATGAAGTTTCTGGAGCCTAATTAGGCCTAAAAACTTAACTTCCCACAGCTCATACTTCCTCTCATCACCATCGAATGTCAGGCGTGACCTGGGCCCATAACCTGTTGAACTAGCCATCGTGGTGGATAAACGAGTTAGTAGAGGAATAAATACGCGATACTTAATGCCATTTTTATAATATCAAGCAAACGAATAAAAGAACACGAGGTAAGATCACAGGGTTACAAAGTTACATGGCCCAGTCCTCCTAACAACAACAAAAATTTGTAACTATGATTAAAAACTAAAGTTTCATACTTAACATTAACAGTAAAACATTTAAGTTATCTTTTTAGAAAACCCCAGGAAAGAACCTTTTTTATTTCTTCCTCGACTGGTTTTGATGGGCTATCAGACAAAAAACCAAGGGAAACAATGCTTTCGCTTGAATGTGGCACTTGCAAAATTCAACAATTTGTTCATGTTGTCTGCCTGAAAGATTTTGGGAAAATATATATATAAATAACATTAAAGACTGACTATTGATTAGCATGATTTGTGCTGTTGTATCTTTGAGGAATTATATAAGTGGTCAGTGATCCGTTTTGGCGTTTTAGTCCAGACCACAGTAAAACAGCGGATAGCAGTGAACACAATTTAATATTAACATCCAACTTAAAAAAACATCAAGACAAAACAAACAACGTTCCAAACACCCGAATCAAAAGTATACAAAGGTTCATTGAAGATAATACAACAATAAAAGGTGATTTGTAAGTCAATAAACGATACCGCAGCTCTTTCTTATTCAATAAGCGGCATCGCAGCGCAACTACACACAACACCTCCCTGCCTAGCCTTGAAGTTCAAGGCAAAGGCGAGAACATATTCTTAGGCTTAAGGGCCTGTTTTGATCTCCGTGGGTTGTGAGGACCGTACTCTGGTGTAGCTGGCCTTCCTCCGGTGGCAGATCCTGGCAGTTCCAGAGAAGTAGCAGCGCTAGTCAGAGGTGAAGTTGCTCTCTCTGTAGACGGTGAAAATCCGGGATTATCATCATGGTAGTCTTGATCAATCTTTCATAGAAGCCACCCCACCAAGGAGCCTTTGAGAGGTTAAATTTCCAAGTGACTCTCCACTGCACGAGAAGTGCTTGTGCCTCTGGCGATTTCAGGATTCTCCTAAACGTTTTTGAAAATGCTATAAACGTTTTTGCGTTGTCCTTAATGATAAATTCTGGTGTTCCACCACGACTTGCGAATATTCTGGAGCAAAATAGGAACGATTTCATGCTGATATCAGAGACTAGCTCCAGATGCACCGCTCTGGTACTACCGCATGTAAAGAGAGCTAAATATACTTTCTTAGTGAAGCCAGACGAATTTCTCACGAATAGAGCAGGGTTGCCAACTGGCCTACTGGGAGGCCAGATTCCAGAAATCTGGCCTAATTGGAAAGACTTTTGCTACGAACATTTCCATTTGGCCTCCACCTATATTTTGGCTATAAATTGGCCTATTGTCATTTGATTACACAATTTCTGTGTTTTTTCGGTTTTACTAATTTTATCTGTATAAAGTGCTTAAGAATTATGATTGATTTATGAAAAATTTCTCGTCATCAAATTACTTGTAATTGATTTTTGTTTCTGCCAATGTACAATCTATTGTTATTAATCCCGGATGAGGTGCTTGTGTGACCCAGCTATCATGTGCGGGGTCATCGAATAAACTGCAAGATGGCTTCAGATGAATTATGAGTATCATGATTGATGTATTGACAAAATAGATTTTGAAATAGATATTTAACTCGTCATCAAATTACTTGTAATTGATTTTTGTTTCTGCCAATGTACAATCTATTGTTATTAATCCCTGATGAGGTGCTTGTGTGACCCAGCTATCATGTGCGGGGTCATCGGACTGTAAGTTCATTATACGCTCCATTGCAGAAGCCAAGTCATGTAAAAATTATTCTCGAAAGTAGTACAGATAGTAAGAGCTGAGCAAAACACTTGAATAAACTGCAAGATGGCTTCAAAATGGAAAGGAAGTTACGATAGTTCAAGAAAGTATAAGAAGAGCTGGGAGAAGCAATATGTATGGCTGTCAGAATCACCAGATGGTAAAGGGAATGCATACTGTAAACTCTGTCGCAAATCTCTTCAAGCGAAACTTTGGTCAATCTCCAAGCATGAAAGCTCTTCTGAGCACTCAACTAGAATCAAAGAAACTCAGCAAATGAGACCTTTAGCTGTAGAAAGACGCCCTCGACCAGGGACAACCAAACGGGATGTTAAAGAAGCAGAAATTCAAATAGCTGTTGGCATAGCCTGTCACTCTGCAATCCTTGCCGTTGATCATTTGGGCGAATTAATGGTTCAGCATGGCAAAGGAAGTGCTTTGGGGGAAATGCAACTCCACCGTACAAAATGTAGTCAGTTGATAAAAAATGTTGTGTCACCATCTTTGAAACGCGAGCTTCAAAAAGATGTAGAAGGGAAAGGTTTTGCAGTGCTCATTGATGAGTCCACAGATGTTGCCGCGAAAAAGAACCTTTGTATATGCATTCGATACTTCAGTGAGCAAGAAATGCAAGTGGCCACAGCGTTCGTTGGAATGATAGAAGTTGTCGAAGCGACGGACTAGATCTGCACAACTGCTTTGGCTTTGCAAGTGATGGTGCTTCTACAATGGTGGGGGAATGGAATTCAGTATGGTCCAGGATTCGGGAATCGCCGCCAAATTGTATACGGATGAAATGTATTTGTCATTCACTGGCTTTGTGTGTCCAACATGCATTCGAGAAGATGCCAGCGAATCTTGGCTTTCTTCTGAAGGAAATACCGAAGTGGTTTTCGAAAAGCATTTTACGAAGAGAGGCTTTCCACCAGCTCATAGAGTTCCGCTATTTAGCGTGCGACATTCGTTTAGACATTCAAATAGACATTCGAATAGACATTCGGACTTTGATTGCTTCTTACAAAAAAACTATAAAATATATTAAAAAGATATTTCATAGAGAGAAACTTGGCTGGATTCTCTGTTGATTCATGTATCTTGTTCATAATAAGATGCGCTATACTTCCAAAGGTGAGTAAAAAAGTCGAAAATTTTTTGACACGGCCTAAATTTCATTGCAAATAGACATTCGGACTTTAATCGATTCGCATAAAAAAAGTAAAGCAAGTAGCCAAAAGGCCTTTGAATGACAGAAACCTTGCTGGATTTTCCGTTGGTTTTGATAGTTGTTTCTAGATGATACGCGAAATTATCGCTAGAATAAGGAAAAAACCTCCAAATTTTTTGACACGATCCAAGTTTGAAATGGCGACCGACCCTCGCGATGTCATAGCAGGCCCTCATTTCAAGCGACCTACACCGAAATACTTGAAGTGAAACATCTAAATCGACTTAAAAGTACAAAAAACCTACCCTTATAGCAAAGTATTTCTAATTTAGATCAAATAACAGCAAAAATCGCCAGTTGTAGGAAACGACAACAAACTCAGAGGAAACCCCTCAAGTAGAAACTTACCTAAGTCGGTGTCCCGCAATAACTTTCGAAAAACTGTTTGGAATCGGCTGAAACTTTCTAAATCAACTAGAATTGATGAGATAGAGATGTTTTTTTGGGTCTCGTAAAGTCTGAAGCGGTTTTGATGAATTTTTGAGGCAACGCTTTTTCGAGTTCCATACTGAAGCCTTATAACTCAGATCTGATGAGTCGGTGTCCCGCAATAACTTTCGAAAAACTGTTTGGAATCGGCTGAAACTTTCTAAATCAACTAGAATTGATGAGATAGAGATGTTTTTTTGGGTCTCGTAAAGTCTGAAGCGGTTTTGATGAATTTTTGAGGCAACGCTTTTTCGAGCTCCATACTGAAGCCTTATAACTCAGATCTGATGTGCCGGTGTCCCGCAATAACTTTCGAAAAACTGTTTGGAATCGGCTGAAACTTTCTAAATCAACTAAAATTGATGAGATAGAGATGTTTTTTTGGGTCTCGTAAAGTCTGAAG